TCAATATTTATTTCCTCAATATTTTTTAATGAAAAATTAATTTTTTACATGAAATCGAGATGATTTTTTTTTCAAATTTAAAAAATTAATTATCAATCAATTGCTAATTTGTCATTATTTGATATTTTTTAACTACTCAATGGCAAAAATAAATAAATCCACCAAACAGATAATTTATATAATAAATAATTTATTTTTAAGAGCTAATAAATTGCTAATCAGTAATTAAATCCTAATTGCTAAAAAAGTGATAAAACTGGCAATTAATTTTCAATTTTCTAACCATTAATAAGTTTCTAATTTGTAGTGAAATTCTGCTTAAAATTATAAACAAATAACTTCAACAAACTATTACTAATTATACTAATTACACTAATTAAACTAATTACACTAATTACACTAATTAAACTAATTAAGCTAATTAATAATTAATCATTTAAAAAATAATTCTTTTTCTTTATTCCAAAATAAATTGATATTAAACAAATATTATTCAAAATGTTATTTACTAAATTAAATTAATTAACTAAACTGATTAATACTAATTAATCATTTCAAAAATAATTCTTTTTCTCTCTTCCAAAATAAATTAATATACAAATATTATCCGAAATATTATTAACAAAACAATTTAGAATTAACTTAATTAATTACAATTTACTATTTAAAATCGCATTATCGCATTCCTGGGGAATTTTAATTATTTATGAAAATAATTGAATGTTTCATAAATTTTTTTTAAATAACTGAATTCTTTTGGAAAAATTTATTAAAATCAGTAGACATTGAAAATCATTGAAATGTGAAAAATTTTTGAAAATAATTGAATTTCTGCGAAGAATTTTATAATTTTTGAATATAATTAAATTCTTGTGATGAATATTGTTACTTATGAAAATAGTTGAATCACTATAAAAGATTTCATTATTTATGAAAATAATTAAAGTATTGCAAAGAATTTTATAAAAAAATTATAACTGACTTTTTTGCTAAAAAATTGTCAATTCTTTTTTGCAAAAAAAATTATCAATTTTTTTAAATAATTGAATTTCTATGAAATTTTTATTATTTATAAAAATAATTAAATATTTGTGTAGAATTTTATTACAATTTTTTTTTAAATAAGTGAATTATTTCGGAAAATTGTATTAAAAGAGATATGGAAAATCATTGAATTGAGAAAAATTTTCGAAAATAATTTTATTACGGAGAAGAATTTTATTATTTTTATTGATAATTGATATTTTAACCCGAATTTTTTTTAATTTTTCAACATAATTGAATTTCTGAGAAGAATTTTATTACTTTTTCAAAAATCAATTTTTTTCCTGTTATTAACTAAAATTCTTGGATTATTTTCAATAATTAATTAAATATATAGGGTAATTGTACCAATTGTCGAGGATTTTAGCAAATATTATTCTAAATGTTATTTAGTAAATTAAATTATTTAATTTAACTGATTAATTAATACCAATATTAATCATTTCAAAAATAATTCTTTTTCTCTCTTCCAAAGTAAATTAATATTATACAAATATTATCCGAAATATTATTAACAAAATAATTTAATATTAAGTTTATTAATTGTTATTTAATTCTTAAATTAAGTATAACTTACAGAACAATTTAATATTATTACTTTAATTAATTATAATTTACTGTTTAAAATCGCATTACATATTTACATGGTTTAGAAAAAAAATTTCTTATCTTAAATTATAATATTTGATTCTTATTTTTTTTTTCTAATTAGCAACAATTGCATATGATGAAGCCTCATGAGGAGATGATTAAAATAATATAAATTGAAAATGTTGGATTAAATTGAAATTACAAAGCACGTGTCGTGAAATCGAAGACAACGGTACTATCACCTTTAAAGAGCATTCAATTGACTGGTGGTTATACAACAAGAGGAGACATACTCGTATCAATAGGGCGTTAGTGCCTACACGCATCCCTAGCGAATGAGCAATCGAATAAACAAACAACCATGCTATATTCTCGTAAAAAACAGATGCAGATTACGAAACGAGCTTAAAACAATTGAAATGTTTACATGGATTGACGAGTCAAAGAGAAAACGAATCAGCCATATATACTCCGCGATAGGCGGTTACAAGCTTTTGAGGTCCCAGCCTCCAATTTCTCTCGATTATTTTATCTCTAGTTTAAAAAAAAAAAAAAAAAAGAAAGAAATTCTATGTTTTTTTAGTAAATGAAATACAAAAAAGGCTGAGAGAGAAAAAGAGTGAGAGTGAGATAAAAATTGTGGATTTTCTTTCCACTTAATCCACGAAAATGTTCCGATGATTTTTAGATTAATCTTTGCAAATCTTTTTTTCCTTTTGCTATCATTCTCCAACTGTTCGCGTTTCACTTCATCAATATTGTGGATTTAACGATTTTTTGAAATAATACTTTTATAACTTTAGCAATATGGGAAAGAAAAAATCTAATATTTGAAATATTTTTTGATTAAAAACTATTTTTTTTTTATTAAAAAAAGAATGTGGTTTTAAAAGAAATGAATTTCATTCACAGAATTTGGCAATTTTGCTCACCGAAAGTATTATTTAGAAAATAATTTAGAAATCATTCTAATTATAAAGTATTAAAGATTTCTAAATTATTATTTCATTATTTGAGCGAAATTAAATAATTGAATAATAAAAATAATTTTCCAAATTAAAATAAAGCTATGTTTATTTACATTTGAGAAAAGAATATTTAAAATTTGTATAAATAATTTACCATATTTGATAGAAATTTTCAAATTTATTATCTATTCACATTTATTGTATTGTAAGTTTTTTTAAAGTGTGTTCTCGTTTTTGAATAGGAATATTAATTGATTAAATAAAATACAAATTTGTAAATAATTTTATTAATTTTGCTTATTATATTTATTTCTATTATTACTCTCAATTTTTTATTGTTTAAATATAAATGTAATTAATTATTAAAGATAATTAATTTCTAGACGAATTTTAGTTAAAAACACTAAAAAATTGAATTTTGGAGAAGTTACAAAATGATTGCAGAAATTCAATTATATTCAAAAGTAATAAAATTCTTCTCAGAAATTCAATTATTATCAAAAAATTTTAACAAAATTCTTGGCAAAATTTCAATTATTTTCAAACAATTTTTTTCAATTCAATGATTTTCAATATCTATTTTAATAAAATTACCCGAAAGAATTTAGTTATTTAAAAAATTTTTTGATAAAATTCTACGCAAACATTTAATTAATTTCCATATAAATAATAATAATTCACAGAAATTCAATTATTTAATTGAATTATTATTTATTTATTATTTATAATTATTTAGTAACACTTAAAAAATTGAATTTTGGAGAAGTTACTAATTATTGCAAAAATTCAATTATTTTAAAAAGTAATAAAATTCTTTCCAAAAATTCAATTACGTTCAAAAATTTAAAAAAATTTCCCTAAAAATTTCAATTATCTTTATAAATAATAAAATTTATTCTTCTCCAAAATTCAATTATTTTCAAAAATTTTAATAAAATTGAAAAATAAATTAAGTTAATAACTAGGAAAAAATGAGGATCGAAACCCATTTTATTTGTATAAAATTATTGGCAAAATTCCAATTATTTTCAAAAATTTTGCTTCATGCAGTGATTTTCGATATAATTTACTATTTTCATAAAATTTTCCAAAAGAATTCAATTAATTAAAAACAGGTTTTGATAAAATCCTACGTTTCATTATTTTCATAAATAATAAAGATTTTACATGAATTCAATTATTTACAAATAATAGTTTACAAAATTTCTTCACAATAATTCCATTATTTTCATAAATAATAAAACTCATCACAAAATTTTAATTAATTTTAAAACAATATTTTAATTAAATTCCTGAAAAAATGCAATTATTCTTAATAGTTTTATTAAAATTCGTCAAAAGAATTAAATTATTTTAAGAAATTTTGACATATTTGTTTATTGCAATTTAATAAATATTTGCAATACATTTTTAATTAAATTTCTTGAAAGAATATAATTATTTTCTAAAATTTTAATGAAAATCTTCGAACAATTCAATTATTTTCAAAATTGTTTAATAAGAATCTTCGTAGAAATTGATTTATGTAATTTGAAAAATTTGTCGAAATTCAATTATTATTAATTTCTACTATTTCAATAGAATTTCCCATAAGAATTCAATTATTTTTATAGATTATAAAATTCTTCGAAAAATGCAATTATTCTTGAAAATTTTATTAAAATTTTTCGAAAGAATTCAATTATTCGAACAACTTTTAATAAAGTTCTTTATTATAAAACTCATCGCACGATTTCAATTAGTTTTAATACAATTTTAAATAAATTTCTCAAAAAATGCAATTCTTAAATAATTTTTTTTTTAATTTTATTAAAATTCTTCAAGGAAATTCAATTATTAAAAAAAAAAAAAAATTTGATATCATTTGCTTATTAGAATTTAATAATTATTTTCAATACATTTTTTGATAAATTAAGTTATTGAAATAAAAATAAATATTAGGGAGATTTAAATTAATTCCTTCATTCGATTTTTTGTAAACTCGAGATTTTTTTTAAGTAACCGATTTTCTTCCACTCTCCCCTATTATGAAAAATATTATAAAAAAATTAAATATAAACAAATTTCTTATAAGATAAAATTCAATATTTATTCCTTTATCTCTAAAGGAAGATTTTTCCAATAAAAACAAGTTTTCTCAGTGTGTATATCAGAATTTTAGAAATTTTATATAATATCAGAGACTGGAGAATATAGAAAATTTTCTGAATTATTTTTTACCTTCGTTTTCTTTCATTTTTCTCGGGTGAAAATAAATAGAAGCGCTCTATGCCTCTAAGGGAGAATTATTTTAAAAATTCAGTCTCATAGTTTCCAACCTATATATATATAGATATATATTTAGAAAAATAGTAAAAAGAAAAAAATGTTTTAAATTGAAGTTTAAAAATAGCTTACCTTTCGATGTTCGAGTTTGTGCTTGGCATAAGCGTTGAAGAGGCCTTCCGATGTAGAAGCCCATGAACTAAAATCCGCAAGCGGAATTCCGTGTGTCTTCGCCTGGAGTTCCAGCTCCTGAACACGTAAGAGCAACCTCCGGTTCTGATTCTCCAACTGTTTATGCCTCAGTTCGCTTTGCTTCATTCTCGTTAATTCATTTTTAAGAAGTTTTATATATTCTACGGACGATTTTAAAATTGTACCTTTATTTGGTCTCACGTCCCTGACAATCTCGTAGTAACTGGAAAACAAAACAAAGAAACACTTTATTTTATTTTTTATTTTTTTGTTTTTTTGTGCAAAAAAGAAATTTTTATTTAAATAAACGATTATTAGTTGTCTATCTATTATCAAATAAATATTTATCATATCAAGTAAATATTTATTTCTATTGAATAATTTTTATTTGAGTCAATTGAATGGTATTTGCTACAAATACTTCAATTAAATTATTATTTTCTAGAATTTTTATCTATAAAATTTTTTTTTAAATCAAGTCTTTCTAATAATTTTTAAAAACGTTTTTTAATAATTTTCAAATCCATTTGTTTACAAATAAATTTTACGAAATTTTGATAAAAATTCCTTAGAAAAACTGAAAAAATTAATTCCACATAATTGTTAGTTTAAGTATAAAAAATTAAGATTTTCAAAGATTTGAATTTGAAACCTTTTCAAAAATTAATTATTTCTAAAAATTCAAGCATTTAATATTCAATTATTAATTATTATCAAAAATTTTAACTGAAATTAATTTTTAAATCAATTTTTATTAGAAAATTCTACGCAAGAATTCAATTATTTCAATACAAAAATAAATAATTTATTAAATAATTAAATGTTCCATACACTGTAAAAAAAGGGAGTTAAATTTTAACTCCCCCGGGGGGTCTATAAAAGTAGCACCCATTGGGAAGTTAATTCCAGGGGAGTTAAATAAAGAGAGTTAAAACTTCACACCCAAATGCTAACTCCCCATGGAAAAAATAACTCGCGCGGGTGTTGAATGAAGGGAGTTAGAAATTAACTCTCTTTTGGAGTTGATTTTTAACTCGAAAAATTTAACTCCCGAGTCCGTTAACTCCCTAAATTTTTTACAGTGTAAAATTGAATTATCCTAAGGAATATTGTCAACAAATTTTTAAATAACTTAAATTTTAAACAAATTTCTGCGTAGATTTTTCTAATAAAATTTTTAAGAATAATTACATTTTTTGAGGAATTCAATTAAAATTCTATTAAAAATAATTTAAATTCTGCTGAGTTTTATTATTTATGAAAATAATTGAATTATTGCGAAGAATTTTAGAAAGAAAATTACAATAATTGATTTCTTATAAAATTGTTAATTTTTTTTAAATAATTGAATTCGTGTGAAATTTTAATTATTTATGAAAATAATTGAATGTTTGTGCTGAATTAAATGAACAATTTTTTTTAAATAACTGAATTCTTTTGGAAAAAATTTTTAAAGTTAGTAGACATTGAAAATCATTGAATTGTGAAAAATTTTTGAAAATAATTGAAATTTTGACAAAAATTTTATTAAAATTTTCGGAAATAATTAAATTTTGAAACACAATTTTGATATTCATAAAAATAATTGAAATTTTGACGACCATTTCTAAAAAAATTTTAAGAATAATTGAATTTCTGTAAACCATTTTATTACTTTTGAAAATAATTGAATTTCTGCGAAGAATTTTATAACTTTCGAATATAATTGAATTCTTCTGATGAATGTTGTTACTTATGAAAATAGTTGAATCACAGTTCAAAATTTCATTATTTACGAAAATAACTTAATTATTGCAAAGAATTTTATAAAAAATTTTAAATAATTGATTTTTTGCTAAAAAATTGTCAATTCTTTTTTAAATAATTGAATTCCTTTGAAATTTTTATTATTTTCTGAAATAATTTTGTGGTTGTGCCGAATTTTATCAAAATTTATTTTGAATTTAACTGAATTCTTTTTGTAAATATTATTAAAATAGTAAATGATATTGAAAATCATTGAATTGAGAAATATTTTTGAAAATAATTCAAATTCTGACTGTGAATTACTATTATTTATGAAAATAATTAAATATTTGCGTAGAATTTTATTAAAATTTTTTTTAAATAACTGAATTCTTCCGGGAAATTTTATTAAAATAGTAGATGTTGAAAATCATTGAATTAAGAAAAAATTTTGAAAATAATTGAAATTTTGCCAAGAATTTTATTAAAATTTGTTGAAAATAATTAAACTTCGGAGAAGAATTTTATTATTTTTATAGATAATTGAAATTTTACTGCGAATTTTTAAAAAATTTTCAACATAATTGAATTTTAGGGAAGAATTTTATTACTTTTGAAAATAATTAAATTTCTGCAATCATTCGTGACTCTTCCAATATTCAATATTTTTGTATTATTATCTAAAATTCTTACATTATTTTCAATAATTAATTAAATATTAGATACATGAAAAATTTTAGCTAATTTCAGTAGAAATTGAATTATTAAAATATCTTTTTAACAGTGTACAATACATTCGGCAATATATTCAATTGAAGAAAATATTTTTAGAGAATAATATTTTTTGTTATTTATTAACAATCTCACCCTCTTTCTTTTGATAATGTCTTTCTCTCTCTCTCTCTAATCTATATACACAGAGAGAATGAGAAAAGCGAAATTTAATTATGAACTTAATTTGAATAAGGCAAATCACGTCATGAAGAAAATGTTGAAACTGTCTCACTATTCAAATATTCATTAAATTTGTTTAACTACATATCTATATATATGTATGTATATAGGGTGAAGAAAACGGAAGGACATCTTGGAGGAATTATTAATGCGAAGAATTTCGAAAGGAATGCAAAAAGCCCCGTCGAATAAACGATATTTCACCTTTCCTCAGTCTCTTTCTTGCCTTTTGTCTATTGAGGAACTATCTCCGGGGATATCCGGAGAAGGAATTCCGGAAGTGAATTCACGTGGAATGCCATGGGCAAGCGAGTGAAAATTTTACATCACTTCGACACAGACTCGCGATTCGTCTTGCGATATCGATGGATTCAACCGCGAAGAAATCACGAAGAATTTCCATAATACGTCGTCCTGCTCACTGTTTCCTCTCGCTATCTCTCTCTTTCTCTCTCTTTTTTTTTCTTTTTCTCTCTTACTCTCTTTATTTTTCTTCCTTTTCTCTCTCTCTCTTTTTCTATTTCTTTCTTTCTTTCTGTTTCTTTTTTTTTCATTTCTTTCCATTTTCCTGTTTGTCTGTCCTGACTTTTTACCTCTCTCGGTGTACCACTATTCGAAAAAGAATTTTCTCACTCGTTGGAAAAATTCATGAAAATCAGCCTTCAGTAAAAATGCGCTTAACTTCCCAACCTCTTTTGGAATTTACCGATTGTTCCCTGTTTATTGTATTTTTTTTTTATATTTTTTCTTCTCGATAGAAATAAAAAAGAATTTCCCTCTTTTATTGAAATTTCATTCTTTATTAAAAAATTGTTGCCTGCATTTTTGTTGTAACAAAATTCTTATAACAAATTTTTTCACCAAATTTCTGTACCAAATTTTTATTTATTTATTTTTATTTATTTATTTTACTTTTTATTTTATTTTTTTTATTTTTTTTTATCAATTTTTTATTTAACAAAAGATTAAAAAATAGTAAATTTTCCCTAAATAAAAAAAATTGCGAGTATTTTGCATAATTTGCGAATAAATATATTTTTATCAGTATTATAATATATTCGGCAATTTTTTTTCCCAAGTGGAGAAGGAAAAAATGTATTTGTCAAAAAGAACTTGCGACGAGGATTTGTCGTCGACTTGTCGTCTTTTTAAAAAACGCCATTTTTTTCCTGTTTCTTTAAATTTTTTTTTTTTTATTTTTTTTTTGTGAAATAAACGACAAATAGGAAGCCTATTATAACTGAACATTCGTCATTCCGACCCTTTCACTTTCCCTCAAGTCTCTTTCTTTGGCAAATGCGAGCTTCGCTTTTTAGAGAAAGTAATTCTTTGCCTTATCCTTCCAAGTGGAAAAATCGAATCCGCGTTTGCCTGTCGCACATCACTACTAAGATTATCTGTGACATTTTTAGGTAATGCGATCGACTGACACACAAAAGTAAGAGCCAAGTATAGAACAAATCCCCGAAGGATAGAAGCGTAACTGAACTTCCATTTCCCTCGAACTTTCAACCCTCCAGGAAAAGTATCTCTCTTTATTAAAAAAAATAAAAAAAAAGAAGAAAGAAAGAGAGAAACAGTAAAAGAGAGAGAATTCAAGTTATAAAGCATAAATCAAAATACAAAATCAAAATGAAAAAAAAAATAATGTATAGAATGTGAAATATAATAAACTAGAAAAAAGTGAAAAATAATGTGAAATATAAAAAATGGACAAGTGAATATAAAAAGATTAAAATAAAACAACAAAACATTTCTATTTTTCAACGGAAAATAATATTTCTCAAAATAGAACAAAAATTTGATAAAAATTAGATCTGGGGAATCGAAACAAAAAATATGAATTCAAACAGAAAGAAAATAAAATAATAAATATATAATCGAATAAAACAATAATTACAATCAGGAAAATAATAAATGTAAACAAATGAAATATTAATTACAGTAGTCAGAAAAATATTTACTTTCAAGAAAATAATAATTACAGTCAGAAAAATAATAATTACTCTCCAGAAAATAATTCTTACAGAGTCAGAAAAAAATTACATTTACAAAAATTACAATGTCAAAGAAATAATAATTATGGTCAAGAAAATAATAATTATAGTCAAGAAAATAAAAATTAGTCTGAAAAATAATAATTACTTTCACGAAAATAATAATTACAGAGTCAGAAAAAAATAATTACATTTACAAAAATTACAGTGTCAAAAAAATAATAATTATAGTCGTGAAAATAATAATTGAAAAGTCAGAAAAAAATAATTACAGTTGGAAAAATAATAATTACAGTCAAAAAAAAATTACAGTCGAAACATAATCATTAGAGTCAAAAGAATAATAATTTAAGCGAATTAAAGTGTCGGGAAAAAATAATTACACTCAAGAATATAATAATTACAGTCAAAAAAATAATAATTACAGTAAAAAAAATTACATTTACAAAAATTACAATTTCAAAAAAATAATAATTATAGTCAAGAAAATAATAATTACAGTCAGAAAAATAATAATAATTGCTCTCAAGAAAATAATAATTACAGA